TTTATTCTACAAAAAAGATATTTTAAAATTAAAATAAGCCATTTATTAAAAATAAAGGTAATCTTCCTTTATGATCCAGTTCTATTGGCTATCGAAAATTCTAAAAAATTTCGGCAGCTGTGTTGAAATTTTGCTATACTGGTTATCGTATATTCCAGTTGCGTTGCTCCATGGAGACTATTCTCGAGATCCTATCTGTAACAAATTTTTCACAGGTTATGTGTTTGATTCAAAAATTTCGGAAGGGATATGGGATTCAAACATCCATAAATTTGGGATTGGATCAGGATATCATGGAATCTCCCAAGATCGCCAACCTTGGAATTTTATAATATTATCAAGTCCATTAAAAATATCTCATGTTTATAGAATTTCAATTGTGATTTATTCAATATCAATTCAATAGCCAATGCTCGTGTACCACTTATAGAATTAGTAATAGAAGGACATGAAATGGATATTATGTTCGCACAACTTCCAGTTACATCAATTCCTGCAGAATTAAAATTGTCGGAACATAATAATAAAGACGTTATTAAAGAAAATATTTACATATTAAATGAACTAATTGAACGAATGGATAATTTAAATAATTCTCAACATTTTCAGAGTATTTTAATACTTACAGGCTTGTTTTTACGAATTATATCTTAAAAATACTTTTTTATTAAAGTATTTTTGAAAGTATTTTGAAAGTAAAGTGAAAGTATGACGGAAAATTTGTGTAAATCAAACCTATGCAGATATTACCATTATATTTGCTGGGAAGAGCTATTGGGTTGGCCATAACCTAGCTAATACCGCTACAAATCCACACGGGGCATTCTTCTCTTTTGGATTCCGCTTAAAGACTGATCAACCAGGAACTGATCTACCGGAAAAACAGAATACATTATATAATTATGAACATGTGGATGGGAGGTGTTAGATAATGTAGCGATAAATAGGAAAATGTAATGACTGGGGGATTTTTTTAACACATAATGCTCGTCCAAAAGACATCATTGCATAGGAAAGAAATGAATATGCCTTAGATTTTTTAACAATTAAGATAATATCAGGGGCCAATTAAAAAATAAATTAAAGATACATATTTTTAAAGGTTATAGAATGTCTTACCGAACAAAATTTTCTCTAATAAATCCTGAACGTGAGGAAATGTTTACTAATTTATTGCGCGTTGTTAAACAATGGGCAAAAGGTTATAATTCTTTTTAACTAACAATCAAAAATTTATTCAGCTCGACAAATTTATTCAAACATTTTTGGATATCTAAGCGGCACAATTTTATTAATAATGACAGCAAAGATTTGTCTTTTATATCCTAATGGAAATTTACTATTTTTGTTAAGACAATTCTTCTTAATTTATAGCATTTGGTTTGTTTATTTAAATAAATTTAGCGCAAAATGATCTTAGAAAAATGTTTTCCTATTTACTCGTCTAATTACCCTTCTCAAATAATTACCCTCTCTAACTCCTCAATAACAAGCTCAATTGCCATCTCAATATATTCTCAATATCTTGTAATTTTGTTTGCAATGTTTGTTGTTGAGTTAGAAGTGACTGACCGAAGTTTTTGAAAATGAGTGATTTTTTTAAAAAATCCTCCAAAATTTATTAATGCTCATTAAATTTGCCACAGAAAAAATAGTGAAATTAAGGAAGGAAGGAGTAGGGTAGGGATAACGGAAAGTGCCCTTGTATGCATACACTTTCGAGATAATAATCTGTTCAAGCTTTTTAATTTTGCTAATTTAGGCCTTGGCCAATTCCAGTAATTTTGGATTCATTAGTAAATTCAAACAACATTTTGCAAGATTGGAATTTAAAAAATTTGTTGCCTTCAGAATATCGCGATGGGGACAAAATGCCTGTAATTACTTCACTTTTTCCAAATCAAAATGCAGCTTATAATGTTAATAACCATACATTGAATATTATCAAATTAGAGATTAATAGAGGTAATTTTTCATAATTTCTGTTGAGGATGGGCAAGAAATTTGAAATTGATTTTATTAATTAAAGCCTATGTGAGCTAAAAATAAAATTAATTCGAAATTATGTATTCTAATTAAGGATGAATGTAAATCCAGCAAGCTAATGTCTAAAATGCTTAGTAGGCGTGGGCTTAAAATCTATTTAAATGTAGAAGAGCACCCCTCTCTGTAAATGTTGAGATCGGTACACATACCCCGTTCCTTAATCCCTACACTAACCCTGCCCAGAGGCTTCAGGATCCATTCATTCCCGGAAATAACTTTTAACTCTCTAACTATCAAATTAATCACCATATTAATAGTATATGTATAAAGATAATTTGTTTGAACGGACAAATAATCAAAGAAAATTTTTAATTTGAGTGAGTGATTATATTCTTTTCTAAATAATGTTTTTCTATTTTAGCTTACAAAATTCTGATTGAAGAAACAGATAAAAATTCTTCTAAAAATCTTGATGAAAATAATTTACTTTTCAAAAAATTGGATTATAAAAATAAATTTTGCCATTTTTTGTTATTAGAATGTACATCATTTAAAGACAATAATGATGAAAATCAGAAAGAATTTTCATCAGTTTCCCCTCCAAATTGTGGACAATTAAAAACTAGAGTTAGAACTCTTCTTTATCGTTGGGTAGAAAAAACTGTTATTCAAACAAAAAATAAACAAACAGTTATTTTAAAAGATAGATTGAATAATTATCATGCTTTAAGTGGATTTGCAAGAAAAAGACGAATGAATAATAAAAAGTAATTAATAAGATTAGAGTTAAAACCTGAGATAGGACCGGAAGGGAGCAACAAGAATTATAAAAAGATACTCGAAAGAGTTCAAATCGTATTAAATGTCTCGACAAAATCGAGATTCTTGCTCGAGATCGTGTCTGATAAGGTCGTAGTTAAAAATTCGTGATCCCCTCCAATACTAAAATGCTATTTAAATAAAAACCACAACGGAAATATTATTCTAAAATAAAAACTGAATCAAAACAGTTTTTCGTACAAAGGCCTTTTTTCCTCGTACTAATGGTTGTACGCAAAAGTTTTACCAAGTTCGAATTTTAGTCGTGCTTCCAAACAAAGCTATAAACTCGAATAAGGATTGGCTCTCTTCTGCTTCCGTCTTCCTTTTTTCCCCCGTTTTTATCAGCCCCCCTATTCCGTTTCCAAATACAAGAGAGCTCTACCAAGCTTTAAAACAATATCAATAATAATCATTCTCAAAAATCTTTAAGCTTTCAAATGCTTCGCGTTATTTGGCTAGTTGGTCTCAATTTTAAAGAGGATTCATGTTCTTCAATTCCAAATTCTATTAATCAATTTATTTCTACTCTCAATTTCCATATGGGAAAACTAAATAATAAATATGGATTTAATGATAATTCAATTTATGGAATATATTCCAATCGTTTTGAATTAGAAAATATGTAAATTAAATTTAATTATAAAATTATTAGGGATCGGATTTTTAGGTTATAACTTATTATTTCCTGCAATAGTTATGTTGATCAGGGTGTAGCAGAGGAGGTATCATGTAAAGGATTTTCCCGAATGCATTACAGAAATCCCGGGTTTTAATCCGCCAACATTTTTAAAAATTCCTGCTTTTTCAACATAATTTTATTTATGTTGGGCACATTACAAAACATATTTGTTACATATTTTAAGGGATTACAACCTAAAAATACGATCCTTATTATAGTAAATAAAAATAAAATTTAAGAATTGAATCTCGTCTTGGTATTAAATTTGAAGATGAATTTAAACAAAATCATATTAATAAAAATAAACAAAATCAACATATAAAAAGTCAATTAGGTAATATGTAATAAATTAGAATTCGGAATTTCGATAAGGAATAACGATTGATATCGATGAACTTTAAAATTTTACCGTACCGATAAATACAGAGAATAGACTAAATTTAAATATACAATTGATAGGGATCGGTATTCTGAGCTTAAAAATAGATGAAATCTTTAACATTTATTTTTTGTCAGATCAAAACACTCAAAAATCAAATTATGAAAATATTAACAATGAAAAATTAAATCAAATTACCAAACAAAATAAAAATATGAAATTAATTAAATGGCCTCAAATAAGTGAAATATTTAATGAAAAGAATAAAAATAAAAACGATAATCTTATTAGAATACCAACAATTAATGAAATTTTTAAATTAGATGATGATAAATACATAATTAAAAAGTGATGAATCCAAAATCTAAATTTTAAGAAAATTATTTTTTGATTTATTTATTTTAACGGTATTATTATAAATATATTTTTAAACATCTTTATTATGTATAAACGCGCGCCACTAGGGCGTCTAAATTTAAAAACATTGTGTAAATTTAAAAATTGGATTTGAACATAGTTCGTGCTTTCTCAACAACTTCTACAGTGCTTGTATGTGGTTCCGGGTGTTTGCCAAAAAAATCGTAGTGGTTTTTTTTAACTCTAATGTCTCTGCTTTCCTAGTGTCCCACAACCGTAGATTCTCCCCATTTCTTTAACGCATTTATATTTATTTAAAAGAAAAAATAGGGCATTAGTAAATTTGAAAATCATAAATCTTATTGATATGCCAATTCTTCAACTGAAGGACACATGCATACTAAATTTCTATCACCAAAAGAATCATCAATTCTTCCACAGGATGGCCATACCTTCCTTGGAGTAAGACACCATGGCTTTGGCCAACCAGCTTGTTCTCGACTGTAAGGTCTGTCCCAATTGTCGGCCATCAAAACTGCTTGGGTGTGTGGGGCATTCTGAATCACAAAAATTAGTAGTTCAATATTTTCATCCCTACTTTGTAGAGATCAACGTGTAGTTGCCCTTTAGCTATTTGCTCTATTTCTTGTTTTATTGCAATCAAAGAATCACAGTACCGATCCAACTCTGCTTTGTCCTCACTTTCTGTCGGTTCGATCATTAAACTGTCTCGAATCGGCCTATAGAAAATTTTAAATTTCTTCTCCAATAAGATATTTAAAAATCTAGCCAATGCATTGTTGGTGCATGGAATCCAAAATCCATTAAACGTTTAGCTATATCATCCACTTCAATACCAAATTGCTTGAAAGGTTTGCAGTCTATTATGAATTCATGAGCGTTTAAGCCTTGTTCGTCTCTGTAAACAACTCGATAGCCAGCATTTTCTAATCTTTTTGCCATATAATTAGCATTAAGTATAGCCATTTGGGAGGCACTTTTTAGACCAGAAATACCCATTCTTTAAAAGACAATTTAAAAAATAAATATCAAAAAACTTATTTTACAATCTAATATATGCCCAAGTAATCGGCAAAATACTGGCACTTCCCCAAGGTGCACCGCTCACAACGCCATCAAGTCTTTTTCCATTTTGTGGTATTATTGGATGTCCAGGTAGGAAAGGTGCAAGATGTGATTTACTTAAATAAATTATATAAAATTGATGAAAAGATTTTTTCGATTTGAAGGAAATCTTGGAAATATTTCGTGGATAAATTCTATAGTAGTTAAAGACTATAGATTTCCAAGTCAAGCAGGACCCCAAGTTCTTTGGACAGGAGTCTTGAACTTAGGGCCTTGCTTTTTCCCAAAATTTATTAAAAAGGACTGTAACCATTCAATATTTAAAATTATTGAGTCAAATGTTTGTTTAAAATTATCAAATAAAATTAATTAAAAAATTTTCGTAAAATTTTTCCCCTAAAATAATTAATGTTTTCATTTATCAAAATAATCATCCCTCCCCTTACACCAATTATTTTTTTATTCCTAATAATATCTACACATACACTCCAATTGGTCCCATTCCTGGTCCTCCACCACCATGAGGTATACAAAAAGTTTTGTGTAAATTAAAATGGGAAATATCACTTCCATAATCTCCAGGTCGGCAAAGGCATGCTTGGGCATTAAAATTAGCTCCGTCTAAATAAACTTGACCTCCTTTGAAAACATTTTTCAAAAATTATATTTAAATAATTTAACCATGTTCGTGTATTTTATTGCAAACTTCTTTAATTTGCGATTCAAAAACTCCATGAGTTGACTTAAAATATTAAAAAATTTAGATACCTAAATGATTTTTGAAAAATCGTTAGATTTGTATTTAAATAAATAATTAATCGGGTTGGGCAAAATATGCCGGAAAATCTCCAAATATGCGCATATATGCACCGAGAAAGCCCAAAATATGCAAAATTTGCCAAAATATTTAGCAAAAATGGCGAAAATATCTTCAAAATTCAATATTTTAAGTAAAAAACACTAATTTAGCCCTTAAAATTACAAATTAAAAGCACTTCTAAATGATTTTGTGGACTTAAAACATATACAAAATATTTTTCGCGAAAAAATTCTGCCAAGAAGTTTTTCAAAAAATTTCAGCCTTGATAATTAAATATATGCTTCTGAGAAATTAGGTTTTTCATTTTGTTGTTATAATTTTGCGTGTGTATATAACTTTCGATAAGTAAGGATATTATTTAATTGACTTAAAAACCTAAAGATTTCACAATTTTAGTTTATTTAAAAGTAAATTAAAACTGCCGATCTTGTTGTTAATTAAAAAATTAATTTCTGATTGGGGCGTAAGATGAAATAATACTTTTAAGGCTTTGATTAATTTTGACAAAATAATCTTACAGGATATGTAATCATTGCACATGCTAATTCATTAGAAAAACGATCACACTTAAATATATTGAATCTTAATTTAAACTTAATTTTTATACTTTAGCAGAGAGATCATTAAAATTAATATTTCCATGTTTATCTGATTCAACTGGAACAACTTTAAAATTAGCCATGTGTGCAGTAGCTGGGTTAGTTCCATGGGCAGATACAGGGATCAAACAAATCTTTAAATTTTAAAAAATTTATTTAAAAATCTTTTTTCCTAAACAAATTTACATTTCTTTGGCTTTCCCCTTTAGAATGGAAATAACCACGAATTGCCAACATACCCGCATATTCACCATTAGCCCCACTATAAAATTTGAAATAAATTTGATAAAAGAACCGTTTCTTTAAAAAAATCAAAAAATATGGAGGTTGATTGGAGTTGACTGAAAATAATTTCAATTTCGCTCTCTTCGACTTACTAACTTCTTAAGCCCAAAAATTTGACTAGTTCGGAGACTATTAAAAATATTTTGGCCTCAAAAATTTGTCTCACTCGGAGATTTTTCCATGACTAATTCTGCATTCAACCCGGCTAGACGAGAGTTCCGAATAAAACAAAACATGGAAGGGGACGGGGGAAAGGGGAGAGCCTAAACTAAAATAAATTCTAAAGAAAAATTTCCTTGGAACAAAGGTTTAATCCATTTCACTATTCTAAAGTTTAACTTATCCAACCTTAAAAATATTTCCAGTTAAATTCACTAAATTTAGCAAAAAATAAAAATTGTCTAACATCATGACAAATAAATTCTAAGGATATAGGATAATTTATTAATTATTATTTACTAGTACCTATTTGGCTGTAAAGAGAATTTATCATAACCAGTAAGTTCACACAACCAGCGTTCCAAATCATTAAAAATCTAACAAAAATATTAATTATATTAATTAATTCCAAATTACTTTAGAATATCCTTTTGCTTGTTCTGTAGGTACAAAAGGGTGAATATTTGCAAATTTGGGCCAACTTATCTTTAAATAATTTTATTAAATTTAAATAATTTTAAAAAATTTACTGGAATTAATTCAGAACTTGCATTTAATTTCATTGTACAAGAACCGAGGGGAATCTTTATTTTCAAAAATTAATTTTTAAATAAAATTATTTTAACCATTGAATGTACAAGTGAGAGATCCTTGTTTTCAAGTCTTTTCATATATCTTTAAATAAATTATAGGTATTTAAAATTATTAATAAAAATATTGTTAGTTTAAAATTTGATAAAATTATTAAAAATTATTCACCTAATAATCTGAGTTTCACTATGATAACTATTAAATACATGTCCAGTTAAAAAAGCTGAATGTCTAGAATGTGGAGAATTACCAATTAAAGGTGTTGAAGTTTCCATCAATTTATATTTAATTTCTTTCTAAAAGAATTTAATTCAATTATAATTAGAACTTAACACTGGCCAAGGGTCGGGTTTACAAGGCCCGGTAGTCCGTAAAGCAAATATTTTAATAAAGTCTGTTTTAGGGTGGGTGAGGGATGGTTTAGGGTCAATCCGGGAAAGTTCGGCACCAGGTCTTGTCTGAAAAACGTCACGGTGTCAGTTTGAAAGAAAAAACCATGAATACCAGTCCCGACAATGTCAAGCTCTGATTATAGTAATTTCAAATTTACCTCACAAATATTAATTCCAAATAAATAAAGAATATCACAAATATCACCAACTTTTTAAAAATTATTTAAAAAAAAATATTTTTTAAAAAATACTTTTAGTTGTTTCATCCAAAGAAATACCAATATAACCGTCATTATAATTTCTAACATTTATTCTTTTTTCCTCACATTTCAAATCAAATAATTGCTTATTTAATGGAAGGATTTTTAATGTATCGAAAAAACATTTATGGACAACTTGAATTCCATTAGCTTTTAAGGCTTAAAGAATTAATTTTTAATTGTCTAAAGATAAATATTATATTTTGGGTATTTATTAAGAGTCCATCTTAGAGTATCTATACCCAAAAATCATATCCATTGTAGCGATGACCCAAAATATCGAAACCATATGATTAACACTAATTTTTTAAAATTTTATTATACAACAAGAGAAGGTTGTTCCAAAGAAGGGGAAGCTTAGTTTGATCATAATTTTTAATTAATCGAAAGAGAATGATCAATTAATTTCTAAGGTGACTCGTGATTGATCACTAGGTATCGCAGCACTGTCGTTTATCAACGTTTGATCACTCTCTCGATTAATCATCATTCGGTTTTCGATTTCGGAAATTTTTAAAAATAACTATTTTCTATTTTAATATTTCTCAACTTTTTCTTATTTTGTATAGAGTTTTGTTTCTAAACAACTCTTTTTCGAGCCAAAATTTGAGACACGATTCGATCTATCGAACCGAACCAAGCCAGGCCGGCAACCCGAATTGGATTAGCAAAAATTCTGAACTGAACAAAATCAAATTACTTTGAGAAAGAAATGATGTAGCTTTATGTATCATTTTGGCAATATAAACTAAACGATTGGGTCCATGATAGATTGCATACCTTAAAATATTCAAAAATAATTTTTCTTAAAATTCTCTTTCAATATCTCTCCGTCAAACAATTTAAAAACACAAACATTGCAGAAATATTAGCAGGAAGTGCTTGAGCAGTGCAAATATTGGAGGTTGCTTTATCTCTTCGAATATGCTGTTCTCTTGTTTGGAGAGTTAAACGATAAGCAATATTTCCCTGTTGATCTCTTTAAATTTGAAAAAATAGTTCAAATAATTTCCCAAAAACACCTAGAAACCCCAACAATCCTTCCAGGCATTTGTCTAGCCAAAGCTAAATTGGCAACAGACATAAAACCAGCATGAGGCCCGCCATACCCAAGAGGAAGTCCAAACCGTTGAGCACTACCTACTGCAATATCTGCACCCAAATCCCCGGCAGAACGTAAAAGTGTTAGAGAAAGTAAATCGCAAACCATTATAACGAGAATCTAAAAATTAACATAGATTCGTTATAAGTAGAGCACGGATTGTTAGGTTGTAAAAACTTCAAAATAAGTACTTAAATAGGTTGCAAAAAAGTCGACATATGGGGAAAAAATGCAAAACTGCTGGATATTTTCTATCTTCTGTTCATAAATTTTATCAAGTATAATAAAAATGGTAGAAAATTCCCATTTTTCGAATTTTCACAGGAAAATATTAACTAAGGAAAATTTTATTAAATTTTGAAAAAAATATTTCTCCAAAAATTGGAAAATTTTTGGATGACTCTAAGTTATATCAGGGGACAGTAGTTAAACCCCCCTCCGAGTCGCCTGTCAAAAATGACTCGAGTTAATCAATCAAAAGGTGTGAGGGCATTTCCTTTTCCTTCCCCACCCACCCCACTAACCAAAAGCCTTTGAGGCTTTTCTTCTCTCTTTTGTTATCCCTCCAAAACAAAAGCTATTGAAGCTTCCCTCCCCCACCCACCCACAAACCAAAAGCTTTTGAAGCTTTTCCTTTCTTCTTCCTCCACCCCTTCACTAGCCAAAACCTATAGGGCTTTTCTTTTGTTTTTCCCACCTAAACATATTGATATCAACCAAATTATGCAAATGCTCCACGCTCTCTCTTTTTCCCTCGCCCGAAAAAATTACGCAATATTTTCCCTCTGTAAAAATTAAAGCTTTTGCCTCCCGAAAATAAAAAACGGGTGTAAATTAGAAAAAAATACTGTAATAGGAAGGAAAAAAAGGAGAAAATAAATAAGGGAATGAAATAATAAATTGATTAATGGGACTAAATAAATAAAAAATATAAATTTAGGTTAAAATAAAAATAAATAAATTATTGGAAACAATAAATAGAATAAAAAATAATTGGAAATTAATTGAAGTAAATAAAATATATATTTAAAAAAATAAATTTAACAAATATTCTACAAAAACATCTTCGTCTTGTCGTTCACCCCTAAACCCTAAATATACTAATTTTTCCTTGTTTTATTTCAAAATATTTTCCCTCTAAAAATCTTTTACTTTATGCAAATTTTCTTTTAGTTACCCTTCGTGACAGCCTTCCTTACTTCAAATAGAGTATAGGATTGTAAAGAAGGAACTTAAAAATTGGTTTAGATGCATAAAAATCTTTTATGCAAATTTCATAAATATCTCTTTCCTTTTCTAAAAATTCTCTCTTTAATTCCCAAGAGATTCAAGGCTGAAAATAAAAGGATCCGAAATAAAGTTTAAAAGTATTACGAAATCCTCTTCTTTTGCATTTCCTCTATGCAAATTCTCTTAACGCTTCCTCCCGATTGGAAAATAATGAAATGGAATTTCAGTGAAATTCCTATTTTACAACACATCAATTATTTTATGGAATATTTTCTTTAAAAAAGGATTTTACATTTTCGTTTTCATTCTTGAAAATTCTAAGAAATTTAATACTTTTGAATTAGTCTCTAATTTTTAATTTATTTTATTATTAATGTCTCCTCCACCTTCGAAGAAAGCACGACATTTCTTCATTGATAATCTATTACAAAAAGGTGCTGGTGATTATGTAAAACATTTGGGTGAAGAAACCAAGATCACCCGCAAATTTAACATGACCAAGCTGACTACAAAATTCCTAATTAATAAATTACCTACAAACCCCGAAAGCCTACTCCAGGAAATATTCCAGTCTTGTATCGATAAAACAATATCTACAAGTTGTGAACATCATTTTGAGCCCGATCAACTCGGGTGTATTGTCAGCAGTCAATTATTAGAAACAGATATTTGGATCCCCATCAGGAAAATCACCAACAACACTATCTACGCCATACTTAATCAATTCCTAAAGGTGGCGCAATCGAAGAAACAAGATAATGGTATGCTTTGGGGGGAACCCTTTACAGTCTCAGTTACCACCATTGATAAAAAGCATCTACCTACAACACGTTCGATTAATGGTAGTGGTGGTAAATCTACTCGTCGGATAAATGATAAAGCCTTGATCAAAATAAGCAATACCGACAACTTTTGCCTATTCTACGCATTGATGGCTTCATATGTCTATTCGATATGTTCTTGGACAAAACAAAAATTCTATGACTATATACACAACAGAAAAGGGATTCGCCGACTAGAGGGAGATGCCAAAAATCTTATGAAAAATGTAAGAGCTCCTCTTGATCAGCCAAGCTATGATGCACAGAACTGGGTTCCCAAAGTGGTTGATTATTGGAATTCAAGGAACGAAGGCCAGTTTAAAGTTTTTATTTTTGGAGAATTAGATGAAAAACCTATTTTTAAATATGGGGATGAAAATTACACTGCTCCAATTCTTCTTTATTTTAATAATAATCATTTTGATGGGGTAAGAAGGGCAAGTGATTTATTTGGTAAGCCTTATTGCCTTGCCTGCGAAACAATTTACAACTGACCTAAGGATCATTCTACAACCTGCGCAGCAAGATGTAAAAAATGTTCAAGGATTGGCCTCACTTTCCCTTGTCAACAATCAGACAACTACTCTAAACTGTGCAATGGGTGTTTTAAAGAATTCAACAATAAAGACTGCTACACCCATCACCTAAAATCTAACTTTTGCCACAACTCTAAGAAATGTGAGAAATGTGGAGTGATCTGGACTACTAAGCTTAACAACAGGGGTGGACGCAATGGACATGTGTGTTCTGAACGATATTGCAACACATGTTTCAGTTTCCACGACCCAAAAAGAGGTTGTTTCATCAAACCTCTTACTCCACGGAAACCAAAACTGTACCGGATCATCGCCTTTGACTTTGAAACCATGCAACACAAGCAAGGCGAAAAGGGCAAATTACATGAAGTTAATTTTATCTCTGCAAAAATCAACTGCCCCGAGTGTATTGGAAACGGTTTAAACAACAACTGTACTGTTTGCGGAGAGAACCGAACTATAACCTTCTCCCATCGACCTTTCTCTAATACATCAGTGGATCAACAAAATATTACAAATGATCCTCTAACCGATTTTGTAGCCTGGATCACCGATTTTTCTACTGATACGGTAGCCTTCTCTCATTTTGGAGGAAGATTTGATATGGTTTTGGTCTTCAAAGCATTATATCTCCAGGGACTAACTCCAGATATGATCAAGAATGGCAACAAAATGTATGAAATGAAGGTGAAGAATGATAAGAAATGTTGGGTCATCTTTCACGATACATACAATTTAATGCCTATGCCCTTGGCTTCTCTGGTACCTGCTTTTGCCCTTAAAGTGGAAGATAAACCTTTCTTTCCTCATCTGGCCAACAATCCGAGCAATTATGGGAAAGAAATATACCCAACAAAGGAAGATTACCTTGTTAATGAGATGATGCCTGAAAAAAGGGCACAGTTCGATAAATGGTTCGACCAACATAAAAACGAACCTTTCAATTTAGAAGAACAACTAGCAGCCTATTGTACAAATGATGTTGATATTTTAATGGCTGCACTCATAGCCTTCAGAAAAGAATTTTTGGAGGTTTCCAAGGGACTTGATGTTTTACGAGAGTCCATGACAATTGCTTCTGCCTGCATGAAGCATTTCAGGATGAATCACCTCAAGGTAAATCATGTTGGGATTGTCCCGGAAAGAGGGTACGACAACGCGGACAATCAAAGTAAACTTGCCCTCAAGTTCCTCAAATGGTATGCTGAGAAAAATAATGTAGAAGTGAGGAATGCCCACTCGAAAAATGGAGAGAAAAAGATGGGCAACTATAAATTAGATGGATGGGTTAAGGAAAAGAAATTGGCTATTGAAGTCAATGGTTGCTGCTGGCATGGATGCAGCAAATGCTATCCTGACGACGACCTTAAGCTTCCAACAGGTCTCACAGCACGACAACAGAGGCAAAAGGATGAACAACGTTTGAATTTCATCAAGAATTTGGGAGTGAATGTGGAAGTATATTGGGAGTGTCAAATCATGGATATGGTAGCAAAAGATTATGAAATGAGGAAGATGTTTAAAAAATACCTGGATGATGGACCAATAAATATTAGAGAGGCCTTCTATGGGGGAAGGACTGGTCCTCTCAAACTCTTCCACAAGGCTGAGCCATCCCAAAAAATTTCTTACTACGATGTCACCTCCCTCTACCCGTTTATTAATGTTTCAACAAGATATCCGGTTGGACACCCTGAAGTCCACGTTATCAACAAAGATGTCAACTGGATTAAACCGGAAGACAACACATATCAACTTGCTCTTCGAAAATTATTCGTCATACCACCACGAAATATTGATGTTCCAGTCCTACCTATGAAAATTGGGGAAGATGATGACGAACGATTGCTATTTCCCCTGTGTTCTACTTGTGCAAAAAAGCACCCTAAAGGAGATGTCGACAAAAATTATTGCTGCCCTCACACAGACCAACAGAGAGGGTGGGTTAGCACATGTACCTCTATTGAGCTAAATGAAGCCCTCAAGGAGGGGTATGTGGTCACCAAATTATTTAGGGTGCTGGAATTTAATCAATATGACGACACACTCTTCAGACCCTACATTAGTGAATTTATGGCTCAAAAAATTCACTCATCAGGCTTTGACAACACCATCAAAGGGGACAAGTTGAAGGAGGATAAGTTTATGAAGGAATGTATGGAAATGTTTGGGATTAACATCGAAAGGGAGAAGATGGTGGTTAATAAAGGGAAGAGGACGCAAGCGAAACTGTGTCTAAACAACTTATGGGGTCGATTTTCACTCCGTAATTTTTTTTCAGGCATCATCCCATTAGCATCCCTTTTTTCAGGCATCATCCCATTAGCAAGGTAATCTTCCTTTGTTGGGTATATTTCTTTCCCATAATTGCTAGGATTGTTGGCCAGATGAGGAAAGAAAGGTTTATCTTCCACTTTAAGGGCAAAACAGGTACCAGAGAAGCCAAGGGCATAGGCATTAAATTGTATGTATCGTGAAAGATGACCCAACATTTCTTATCATTCTTCACCTTCATTTCATA